GATGTGCGCGTCCCCCCGGGTACCTGGAACACCGAGCCGTGGGTGGGAACGTCCTGTTCCTCCGGGACTGAAAGGCTCAGGCAGCGGGGGGAAAAAAAAAATAAAGAAAGACAAAGCAAGACAAAAAAAAAAAAACCCCAGACCACAAAAAGCCGGCGGCGAACAGCTGTGCCGGAGCCTCCCGGTGAACACCCTGCGAAGGGAACGCTCCTCCTCATCCTCACGGGAACATCGGCGGGCAGCCGGCCGCTCCCAGCCCTGAGCATCCCGGACTCCTCGGCAGGTAAGAGCGCTCCCGACAGGGACAGGGGGTCCCACAGCCACACCCTGGACCCCCCAAACCCCAGCCAGAGCCGCGGGGTTCGGCATTCATCGGAGAGGGAGCAGGAGCCTGGCGATGCCAGAAGGGCTGGTTTGACTCTCGTGGGTACACGAAGCAGAATTAAAGAATTTAATTGAGCTTCAGAATTTTCATTCTGTAAGTTAATGAGCATTTTGGTTCCTCAGCTGTGAGTTTCCTGATGGATCTCCTGATGTGTTCCTGCCCCAGGCAGGGCACGGGGACCTGGAGCTGTGGTATCACAGCGTGCACCCTGTGAGTGCAGCTGGGACGTAGAAAACCACAATCTCCCTCGGTTAATTACAAGGGTTTCTTAATTAATGCTGATTTGACTCTCCACTGGGGGGAAAAGACTGTCCAGATCCTCATAAGGGAGATCAAACAATAATTTTGAGAGTGTGGGGCTTGAAAGGAGGATCCTGGAGGGGAACTCTTGATTTCCATACATTTTCTGCTGGAATATATTTTACTTCATTCACTTGTGCTACTGTGAGTGGGTTTATGGAGGTGCCCAGGGAGCCGGGCATTCCCTCCTTTCCTCCCTCCCATCACAGCTGCCACAGGGAAAGACTGGAGAAGCCAAAGCTCCATGGGTGGGGAAGATATAACCAAAGGGGTAAAAGAACCCAGTGGGACAGGCTGGGATTGGGTAGGGTGGACAGGCTGGGGTGGGAGAGACACAAGAGTGCAGGGGATGGAAAGGATGCTCCTGCCCAGCCAGGTGGCATGGGCTTGGTGGCTCAGGGTGGAATTAACTGGAAAAATAAAAAGCAAGAAATGCAGGCGTGTCTTTTTTTTCTGCCTTACATCAGTGCATCTCCCAGGTCACTCTCCATGAAGTTTCTCGAGCTGATTTCTGGGTCCTACTGCTCCAAGCTGGCAGCTCCCCACAGATCTGTGCTGGCTGCTTGACTATTTCACAGCCAGCTTCTCAACTTTGCTCCATACTGGAGCTCCTCTGTGTCTGTCACAGGGCATCTTGACTCTTAAGCAAGTCATTTAAACTAGCCAGTGCCTCAGCACAGGGCTGTGCAAAAGGCCCAGACTCTGGGGACAGGTCCTTCTGCCCAAAAGTTCAACCAAAATGTATTTCTGTGTCCCCTCCAGAGCTCACAGGCTCGTCTGTGTTTGAGTTGTGGAGAAGCTGCTTTGGCCACAGGGGCTCCCATGGCTCCGCTGCCCAATGACTCCTGGCACAACGGCTCAGCCCTGATCTTCACCGGCCTGGACCTGCTCCTGGAGCTGAAGCCGCTCTTCATCCCGCTCTACGCCACGCTGGTGGCGGTGGCGTGCCTCGGGAACCTCTTCCTCATCCTCCTCATCGCCCTCACCAAGAAGCTGCACTGCACCACCAACTTCCTGATCGGGAACCTGGCGGTGGCCGACTTCATCATGTGCCTGGCCTGCGTCCCTCTCACCGTGTCCTACGCCTTCGAGGAGCGGGGCTGGCTCTTTGGCATGTTCATGTGCCACTTTGTCACCCTGCTGCAGGCCGCCACCGTCTTCGTGTCGGTGCTGTCCCTCACGGCCATCGCCATCGACCGCTACGTGGTGGTGGCGTACCCGATCCGCAGGCGGATCAGCCGCAGGGCCTGCGTCGGCCTCGTGGCCTGCATCTGGCTGCTCTCCATCGTGGCCTCTGTGCCCACCTCACTGCACACCCACTACTTGGACCTCAACGCCATCGGCCACGACATGATCATCTGCGAGGAGTTCTGGAAGCACGAGGAGAGGGAGCGGCTGCTGTACTCGTGCCTGATGCTGCTGCTCTCCTACATGCTCCCGCTGCTGGCCGTGTCCATCTCCTTCTGTGCCATCACCCACCACCTGCGCAGGAGGAACGTGCCGGGGGCCGCCCATCCCTGCCGGGACAAGTGGACCAGGACCAAGCACAAGACCTTCCGGGTGCTCATCATTTCCGTGGTCTGCTTTGCCATCTGCTGGCTGCCTCTGCAGGTGGTCAACTTCATCCGGGACATCGACGAGGAGTTCACCATCCTGGACAAGAGGTACGTCAATGTCATCCAGGTCTCGTGCCACCTGATCGCCATGAGCTCTGCCTGCTACAACCCCTTCATCTACGCCTCCCTCCACGACAAGTTCTGGTTCCACCTCAGCAGCTACTTCTACCGCAAGAAGCAGAGCTCCAGGACCATGTCCTGCAAGGCTTCCCGCTTCAACACCTGCTCCACCCTGGCAGACGCTCCCACCGGGGCCTCGGACAAGATAGCTTTGCAATCCAGGTTACCTTAGCCGGAGGACCTTGAGGGATTGGGTTTGCACAGCCCTATATCCCAAACCATGGCTGGGACATATCCCTATATCCCAAATCGTGGCTGGGTGTAGTAGGTGTCCAGTGCTACATTTGGAGCACAAAGACTTCACCCATGGTTAATGCAGGAGGTGGGTCAGTGTCTGAGCAAGGCAAACACCCATTGTGTAAAAAACCCTTTGGAGAGCGCACATCTTCATTGTGTAGGATACAGATTGTTCCTAAGCAACAGGCAGCACTTTGTGCCACGGGGAGAGGTCGACTTGCACGGGGAGCCGTGAAATTGCTGTGCATTTATCCTTTAAAATTGTGGCTTACTGGTGAAGGAACAATGTAGGCTCGGAGATGTGCATTCTGCAGGTGCAGATGGGAGCATGTGGCTGCTGACAACAGGTGGCTGGTTTGGAATGGGAATGACTTCCATAACCTGCTTGTCCTGCTGGAGGAGCCGTCCCCGTAACCTGACAGGGCATCCCAGATTCTCCAGCCAAAGCTGCAGAGGCAGCTGGGCACATCCATGGAGTCATCACTGCTCTTCATGGGCAAGCAGGACTCAAAAGACCTCTAGTGATGAGCTTGCTGGGAATGATGTCTCCAATTCTGCTCCCAGGGAAGTTTATCTTGGTGGATGTCCACGTTTAGGGTCCTGCAGTGGAGGTGGGGGTCCCAGTACCAGGCTGTTCTATCCCAGAAGCTGCCAGATGAAGGGTGGGCTTGCTTGCCAGTGCTCCTCAGTGTCTGAGGTGCTTCTGTGGCCTCTCAGGCTGCTCTGTGCAAGCAGCACATGCAGAAGGCAGCATCTCCTTACACCCAATTCCCATCTAGGTTTTAACCTCTTGATTTCCCAGGAGAAACCCTTGGGAGCAGCCCACAGGCACCAGCACCCCCATAGGCACCACAGCTCAGGGCCACAGCAGCTCCCAGCTGCCCTGCCTGCCTGCGGGGCAGAGCTGTGACCTCCCACTTCTCCAAGAACAGGACTTCAAAGCCCCCAGGCAACACATCCTCAGACCTGCATGGAACCTGCCCGTGGCACTTGGGAGCATCCAGTGCAAACACAGCTGGCTGGACCCCAACAGGATCCCTAATCCACTCCCTGTATGCCCACCCACAGGCTTACTCACCTTCTGGCTGAGGCCCTCATGGTGGCCCTAGAAGGACTTGTGATCTTCTTTGGGGTGACCAGCAGAGCAGGGACCCATCCAATGCCGTGCCAGTGGCCTCTGTTGTGTTCCCACACAGCAGCTCCCTCCTCGGCTTCCTGCAGCTTCCCTAGGCCTGGGCTGCTCATCCAGGAGGAGCCAAGCAAGGCAGAAGGTCCCTGTTTGTCCTTCCTGTAATAAAGGCTTCAAGAGCTTGGACTGTGTGTGTGTATTGATGTGAATCCCACAAACCCCAGAAACCCCTGACTGCAGCTCAGTCACATCCCAGGAAGATGCCAGCTTGGGTGTGGATAGTTCTGTCCCAGTCCTGGGCAGTGGCAGATCCTTGGAGGTCAGGCTGGGATTAGTGCTGGCCCAAGCTGCTCCAAGCCCCATCCAGCCTGGCCTTGGACATTTCCAGGGGTTGAGCAGCCACAGCCTCTCTGGGCTTCATGTGCCTCACCATGGGGCCTCACCATCCTCGGAGCCAAGAATTTCTTCCCAGGATCCCATTTAACCCTGCCCTCTGTCTGAAGCCATTTCTTCTTGTCCTGTCACTGCCATCTCTTCATTTCATCCCATCACAACCTCTGTTACTTCATTCTTAATTAAAACCCCCAAATTTCCTTAAATTACACTACTTGGCCTTTTTCTCCCTCCAACTCCACCACCCACTCATTCCGATCACTGCATTTATCTGCAGGACCACTTAAAATCCATATATCCACCCCTGAGGACTGATCCACAAAGAGAATGAGGTTTTCTCTTCCATGTTTCCAGACTAGACCAGAATTTGCAGTTATTGAGCACTGGGAGAGAAAACCCCCACGCTCAGGTCACCCTGTCGAGATGTTTTGTTCATCCCTCAAATTACCTGCAGGAAAAAGGAAAACACTATTTTGGGAGGGTGAGCTAAAAGCTGAGTGACTTCTGAGAATAAACACAGAAATCCCAGAGCTGCAGTCTGTGATTCACAGAAACTGGATATATAAAGGAGAACATGGTTTGTTTTCTTAATGAAAGTAAATTAATCAGATAAATGAGGGAAAAAAACATGTTTGAAGGCTGATTCTGCAGAACATTCCTCAGGAAGTTGCTCGAAGCTTTTCTCCCAGGAACCAGGGGGTATAAAGGGGATATTTTTGTTAAATCATCCTCAATTATTAAGCGTTTTGCGCAATATTGTCCCTGAGGCTGTTTCTTCCTCACAAACTCTGTTGTTGGCTGAAATATGGTTGATAACGGTTGGACTCGATCTTAAAGATCTTTTTCAATCTAAACAATTCCATTCTGTGACCCTCTTCTCTACCAGGATTTGGTGCCTGTAGCTTTTCCTTCTGCCACAGCACAGCCCAGGAAGGGAAAATATTGGTCAACCTGTTTAGGTGTTTACAGCTCTAAGGGGCAGATAATATAATTTATTCCAGTGATGTTCTTTCAAAAGCACTCGAGAAATGATTGTTTGAAAGAGCTTACCTACAAGCAGGGTTTTATTCCCATTATTTGATCCCCATCCAGGTTTCTCCCATGGCTGCAGATGATGAGGCCCTTTGTCCTGCCCTGCAGAATGAATTGAGATGAGCATCAGCTCTAAATGCACATGAGGGATCAACACTGTTTCCATGTGTACTCCTAGAAATTTCCTCCTCTGCCTCCAAATCAGGCACAGCAAACAAAATTAGCCTGGTAATTTTCCATTGACTTTTAGCCCCCGTCTCACTGTGTTTGTTCTGTCTCGATGTCACCAGTGATGACAAAACATTCAGAACAGAGAAGCTCTTCCACTGAGCCAGGATCATTGGGCAAATTTTATTTGTGGATCTGGAAAAGGCTTAGAAATTGTTGATTCATTTTATATTATTATTATAATTATTATCATTACCATTATTTCCCAGTTTATTGTGAATAACATTCTGACTCAAGCCACTGCTTCTGATTTCCTTGAAAGGACTTGCAAAATACCTTTTCCATTTCTCTGAGCAGATTCCATAGGCTGTACAAACTATGGCCAACTCTTTCCAGATCTTGGCTCTGGTTAAAGAGGCACGTTTGTGACATGTACATGAGTAGATCAGGCTTATTTTCACTTCTCTTGGCTAAAAGCACAGTTGATACAGCTCAGGCTCACAGGAAGGACCCGGAATGGGTCCTGGTTTGGGATGGAAGGGACCTTAAATCCCACCCAGTTCCACCCCCTGCCGTGGGCAGGGACACCTTCCAGCAGCCCAGGTTGCTCCAAACCCTGTCCAGCCTGGCCTTGGACACTTGGGGGCTGGATCCCACTGGATCAGGCAGACTGAGCACCTTCCCATGGACATCACCTCTCTGTGAACTGCTGGATCTTCCAGCATTGTTGAATTATTGAAAGCACCACAGTTGATTTATGGATGTGCCCACTTCCGACTCATCTTGTATTCCCCCGGTGCCTCCTCCTCCTCTGTCGCTGCGAGCGCTCACACTTTAATTTCTGTGAGCGTAGCAAGCTCTCGCTGCAGCAAATTAACCAAGATTTCCTAAGCCCCAGTTTGCTCCTCATTCATCTGTTTTATCCATCATCCCACTCCTGCAGCAGATGCCAAGAATCTCCTTAGTCACACACAGCGGTCATCGTGCCCTCGCTCGGGGACAGATCTGGCATTTATTTACCAGACTCAGTTCAACACCATTCCCCAAGGTGATGATGAGGGATGGGGTGCTTTGTACCAGTCCCCAGAAAGCTACAGACACAGCCCTGGCCTGGTGCCTCTGCCTGGGAGTCTCCGGCATGCCAAGGATGGAGCAGGGCTGGGAGACACCCCAAAAACCCTCCCACTCAAAGCATCAATTTTACTGCACGTTAATATCCAATTTTGGGAGCAATGTGGGAGACACAGACATTTCCTGCAGCAGGGATGGAGTCATCCCACAGCCCCTGGCAGCAGAGAACTTGGGGTGATGCTCCAGCAGGGGGTGGCTGCCTCCCCCCGGATGCTCCAGCCCATCTCCCCGGCTGAGATGAGCGGAACGAGGCCGAGGCCACGCTCAGCGCGCAGGTGACGGGCGCTAATTCCATAAACGAGGGGAGCGCTGATTGCCACGCAGGGAAGCGCTGCAGAGCGGCTCTGGGTTGCCATAGGAACCCATCAACCCCCCCCACCCCCCGGGAAAAGCCAAATTGCTGGATCCAGACGGCTCCTCTGGTGGTGACAGCGGGGGGCTCTGCATGGTGACAACCTCCTGCTCCAAGAATGGAACCAGAGCAACCTCAGGAGGTGAAAGATGGCAGTGGGGATGCCTAAGGCTCCAAGGAAACCTTGGAGCCCCTTCCTGTGCCTAACGGGGCTCCGAGAGAGCTGCAGAGGGACCTGGACACGGGTCTGGAGTGACAAGGGGGAATGGCTTCCCACTGCCAGAGGGCAGGATGGGAGACTGGGAAGAAATTCTTCCTTGAGAGGGTAGCGAGGCCTCAGAGCACAGATCACCCAGAGAAGGCTGCTCCATCCTGGAAGTGTCCAAGGCCAGGTTGGACAGGGCTTGGAAAGGAACCTGGTCTAGTGGAAGGTGTCCCTGCTCAAGGCAGGGGCTGAAACGGGATGGGATGTTCTGGCAGGGGAACAATGGATCCCTGCAGATTTTACCAGGGCTCCGAAGGGAAAGTCTGCGTTGCTGAGAGTGTGCGTGATGCTGATAAAACTCCAGAGTTCTGAAGTAGGATCTTTGCAGCTCTTTATCCCAAAAATGTGGCAAAAAAAGATATTGCAGTAATCCCACTGGGTTGCAACAAGAGCCTGGTGAAGCAAATGGATGAATTTTCAAGATTTACCCTCAAACTCACCCCAAGGCACAGCTTTGTCCTTCTCACTCCATCAGGAACCGTCACCTCCTGGGCCACCCTGAGCCCGAAGCAACACCTGGAAGTACCCAGGCAGGTTTACTGATGCTCATCCCTTCTGCATTAACAAGAAATCTTAATTTCTCCCCTTGCCATGGGGTGTTTCCAGGCTGCCAGCTCCCTCCTTCCATGGAAGACGACACAGTTCCTGGGTCTCCATAATTATTTACATGTGGGCTGTGTTTATTGGCAATTAAATGGTTCGGTGGCTCCGAGACATTAGTCTCCTCTAAACATGTTGTCTGCCAGATTGCTTCCTGCCAGCAGTCCCTGTGGGATGAGGAATTCTGCCGAGCCCTCCGGGGCCGTGTGTGGATGGGAGGGAGCAGCTGGCAGAGCCCCCCCGGAAAAATAATGCTCTGACAGAGCAGGTTTGGAACTGGGAGCCACGGGGAGGGGTGGGCTTGTGTTAAACACTGCACAAACAGGCAGACCTGAGCCCTGGAAGATCAGAGGGGTGGCAGGGATGGGCTGTGCAGGAGCATCCCAGCCTGGATCAGGGAAAGGAGGGATGTGACAGGCCAGGATGGGGCAGTGACCCCACCAAGGCAGCTGCCCCAGCCCACCCCAGAGGACAATTACAAGTCTTCAAAGATCCACTGAAACGCTGCAGGGCTCACCCTTGCTATTGCAAGGCTTGGTTAAAAGGATTTTTTTATAAGGAATTGTCTGAAGCCAGCGAGCAGAGGGTGGATCCCTGCAGAGCTGCTCCAGGGAAGGCTCCGGCACGGAGCCGAGTGCCCGGGGAGACTTTGTGTCTCTGCAGCATCGTCCTGTCAGCACCAGGAATTTGCTGCCAGAACCAGTCCTGGCTCCGGGGGGCTCTTTGTGAATGCTCAGCAGGACAGACCCCCCAGCCTTGCCCTGCTGTTAGGGCTCTGCCACAAACCAGATGTTTTTGTGGCCACCCCAAGTGTCCCCAGCCCCTCACCCCCAGCTGCTGCTGCCTTCAAAGCCCCCAGCCCCCAAAAGCCTCCTGACCCCCATGATCCTACAGAACACCTTGATTCTGGACGGGGTTTTGAGCAACCTAGTATAGTGGAAGGTGTCCATGCCCATGGCAGGAGGTGGGACTAGATGATTTTTAAGGTCTGTTCCCACCAAAATCATTCTGGGACTCTCCCCAAAGTTCAGGCTCGCTGAGCTCTATCAGCTGAACATCCACTTGGACTTGCTAAAGATCAGGAGGTGGGATTGAGGTGTGTGATGAACAAGCAGCATGGAGATCCAGATATTTATGTGCATTTACTACGTTTTTGCATTTTAAATTGCAAGCCTTTGCTGCTTCCCCCTGCTTGGCCCTTTCCCAGGTTAGAAATGAGCCTGAACCTTCTCAATTCTGCTCTGCTGCTGGCAGGGGATCTGAGCCTACACCCAGCCACGCTCTTTATCTTTTACTCCTCACTCTGGCACCTTAAAATTCCTTCAAACATTGGCAGCTTCCACAGGGGTTTCCTCAGGCAGCTGTGTGTTGCTAGTAGCTCCCACATCCCTATTTTCCTCCTCACCTGATGCTCCCCATCAGCAATAAACACGATTTTGCTGGTTGCTCTGAGCTTCTTCCCAAGCCCCTGGCGCTTTCAGGAGAGCAGAGGGATGTGTTTAGACCCCAAAGTGCCCCACTGCTCCCCATTCCAAGCTCCCACCAGCAAATACCACTCACCAGAGCCTCTGAAAGGTGCAGTTTCCACACTGATTCTGGGCCTCACTGAAGAGCTCTGCAGCTCATGGATAAACCCTGATGGAGATTTATTTTAGTCCCTCTCATAGCTCAGCAAGGATTCTGTGGCTCCCATTAGCACTTTGGAGAGGTATAAAGCAAATTCCTCAAGCTTCTTGGCTCAAAATCACGTTAAGATTTGCTGAAAGCAACAGAAGATGCGGTTTATAACTGTGGGTCTGCAAAGGGAAAGGCTTTTGGAGAGTTTAAAATCCAAAGTGGTTTTTTTCCCAGAATAAAAGGAAACCACCTCGTCTGTCTTTATAGGCAAGTGGAAAACAGACCAGGAAGATTCCCAGACATGAGGAAGAGGTTGGATATAACTGAGACAGGAGATTCATGCCTGTTACCTGAGATGGGATTCCAGCTTTGGTTCCAACCCTGCTCCCGACATCTTTTGGGATGCTCAGTGCGGGGCAGCTCTGCTGAATTTGGCGGCACCAGCACTGTGGAAAGAGCAGGTGAATTTCTGCAAGCCCTTCCCATCCAATCATGACACTTGTGATTTCTCCTCTTTTAACCCGAAGGACGAACTGCCAAGGATAAGGAGAACCACGTGGAGGCACATGGGCCCTGGCAGAAGGTTCCAAGGTGCTCTGTTCCCCCCTCCCTCCCGCTGGCGCCTGGCCTGGACATATTTTGCTCACGATGCAACTTCCATTATTTCCATGGCAACCATCCTTTGTCGGGGCTGAAGACTGGAGATTTTTTAACAACTCCCCGTTTGCCAATTCAAGCCCCAGAAGGAAATGGGAAAGTTCTCATTCACATGCAAAATAGATGCGATAAAAGCCGAGGGGTGCAGGGCGGGGGCAGCACTTGGGCACGGCTTTTTTCATCCCAGCCTTCCTCATTTCCTTGGTTTACAGTGGCAAAGAGCACGTCAGGGATGTGCCTGACAGCCTCTCAAACCCACCCGTGGCAGGGGGTTGGACCTTGACGATCTTTAAGCCTCTTCCAACCCAAACCATTCCGGGATTCTACGAATACAAAAATATCTCGACACACAATAGACCCATTGGAGACGCTTTCTTTTGGCTCTTCCAAAACCCCGCCTGCGAGGGAAGGAACATCCCAAGGATGTTCGTGCTCAAAGCAAGATCCCCAGCCCGTGGTGACTCTCGTCCATCAGGAGGGAGGCTGGGAGCCAAGAGGAGCAGAAGCCAGGCTGGTGCGATGCCGTCTGCAGGCGTCAGAGCAGCCGTCCCTGGCACCGCTTGCTCCTGCCACCATTCCCAAAGCTTTATTCCTGCTTGATCCGAGGTCATGGCTACCAGCCAGCTTGGCGACTGACAGCCTTAATGTGTTTATTTCAGCCCCAGTGCCTGGCCAGGAAGTCGATTATTCCTGCAAAATCCGCAGAAGACACACAGGAAAGAGGAGAAACCTGACATACACCCTGACCTGAGCATGGGGACCAGAGGGAACCTGTTCCAAACCCCTTCCCAGAGTCACGCTGCCAAAAGCCAACAGCTTGGGGTCTGGAAAGGGGTGGAACAAGGCTTTGCAGGAATTGATAAAGAAGATGACACGTAAAGTGGGATTTTTGGAACAGCAAAGGTTCCTAACCCATCTCACTCCCTGGTGCCCAGGGGAATTCCAAACCAGCTCCAAATTCCAAAAGCTGAGCAGGAGCAGAAGTGACTAAACACAGCAACATTGTGGTACTTTAGAGAGAATCAGAAGGTTTCGGTGTCATGAGGTAGAATTAAACTGTTGGGGTGTCTCCACAGCCCTGGACAGGGCTCTACAGGGAGAACACGGGAGCAGCAGGGACAGGGATGTGATTTATCAGCACAAAATTGGAGTAAAAAAGCAGGGACAAACCCCTGATGCCAAAACCTCGGGTTGTTCACTTGGGGAAGTTTGGGGCATTCAGTGCAGAATAGAGGATTAACAAAATAAAATTCAAAGGAGGAAAGATTCCCTTTTGATTCTGCAGGATAACTGCACGTGTAGGGATGGAAAAGGAGCTGCCAGACTGGAACAGACTCAAACCAGTTCGTAACTTCACGTTTTCCTCCCTGCTCCTGCAGCTGTCACCCCTTTCCCCGTGCTCCAGGGGATGGCTGGATCCTGCTCAGCACCTCTCACCTCCAGTGCCTGCTGTCAGCTCTGGAATCTCCTCCTGATTTATTCCACCCTGGAGAAACACCTGACAAAGGGAAGAAATGATACAGCTGCAGAGGGAGCTGACTTCTTTTCACTCTACTCATCCAAAGCTGCCACAGAGAATTGTACCATTGGCCACAGATAAAATGAAGCCCAAATAATGGAAACCTGATAGGTTTCTCATTTTTGCTGACCTGCAGACAAACTTCTTCCCCAGCTACAGGGCTCTACCTGGATTAAAATCCTCCTCACAGGAAGGTACAGGTTGGTGGGAGCCTGTCTGCTTTATTCAAAGAGGAAAGGGTGATCAGTGAGAGAGTCAGAGAAAAGCAAAATCCTGTACACAGTAAATTAGATTAAGGGGACAAGAGACAGAAATTTAATATAGAGAACAGAAGCTGCAGCAGATAAACAAACAAGCAGCATAAACCTTTAAAACTACTGAGAAATAAACATTTAATTAAAAACCAAATCACCAAACAAGCGGGAAATGTTCCCAGAAGCAAAGAACGCGAAGTCTCACCAACTTATTCCTAGTTAGGGGGACCTGGAGGTCAGGTTTTAATTACAGCTCAGCCCACCCCCCCAGCAGCATCTGTTTTATAAAACAAAATCCGATTCCCAGCCGGATCTGGTGCCTTTGGCTGTAGGACAGATCTTCAGTTCTTCCAGCACCAGGCACCAAAACTCCTGGGGACAGACAGGAATGCTGCTGATTTCAGAGTGGGCACCAAGAGAGAAAAGACAATTTCTGACCCATTTTTGGCCTGGGATGGGTGCACACAGATTCAGGACACAGGCAGGAACTCAAATCCATGCATGTTCCAGTCATCACCCTCATACCCAGCCGTGAACCCCTCAGCAAAGGTAAAAATCCCTCAGCCCAAACTGTCCTTGGCCACTTACCCCAACGTGGGCTTGGATGTGGCTCCATGCCCTTCTTTCAGAAAATGTTAAAATCCTGAAGAAAGCACCTTAAAAAGGGGGAAAGAAAATGAAGAGAGAAATCCCAGAAATTCACCAGATCCATAACCCATCCCTACCACTTTGTACCAACTCCACAGCAATTTGTAGCCCATCCTGCTGCTTTTCATCCCATTTCCCTGTGTCCTGTTATGCATTTGGCTCCAATGTGTCACTTCTCCATGTGCTGGTGCTGCTCTGACAATTAAAACATTAATTAATCACAACAGGAACAATTCTTTCCACCTTTGTGTTGTGGCTCAGCATGAGGGACAGAGGCCTCTCCAAGGACACAAACAATCCCAAGGAAAAGCACTAACAGGCTAATTCATATAAAAACTTTATTAGAAACGAGGACACAGCCTCCCAAGAACAACATCCTGCGTTATCTCCCAAACTTTAACAATTTCAGAGCCATAATTAAATACAAGAGCTACAAAAAGAGTGTGCACAGCTATTAAAGGAGGAAAAAAAAATCAATCCACAAGTTGCCATTGTTTCAAACACGGCTGGAGAAAGGGGTTTTCCACAGTGGTTTCCATGCAAAGACCCAGGAGGTTGCAAGCTGGCATGTGGCCAGTGGGATTTGTTTCCCATCCTAAGGACCGGGATGGGCTTTGATCTTATCCCGAGTCTGTATTGCTTCAATTCAGAGAAAAGAGCAGAATGTGATGGCTTGATATTGCATCTGATGCATGATGTTGGAAAATAGTTGTACTTCCAAAATCACCCAAAAAGGGGGTAATATCCTATCCCTAGCTATATTTCAATGGTAAATAATAATAATAATAAAAATTAAAAATAAAAGCCAGAGGCACTACTGACACAGAAAAAATGACCAGCCTCATTTAAGTACCATCTACAATGGGAAAATAAAGGACAAATGGGGCTTGGTTTACCTTTTTTTTCTACTTATACCCAAAACCCACATGGGACCAGTTTAACAATGCTAATTTTTAGTGCATCAGCTGCCACATTACAATCTCAATTCAGCCAACGTTTAGTACAAAACCCAAAAAAGGATGAAAAATACTTAAAATATATAAATTTCTCAGAATCGTTACAGGAGTTCTCCACGTAGTGGCATAAAAAAGGGATTTAGAGCAAAATAGAGATACAAAAGCTACTGTGCTTTTAGCGGCGTATGTACACGGGACAGTCAGAGAGGTACAAAAAGGATCCTAAGTAGCCAAGGCAGTAGGGAGTACTTTATATAAACGGTGCTTGCAAAGTATAAAATTAGGAAATAATGCATAGAGGAGCACGCTTGACGCAGCAGCGAGGGCTGCGCAAGCAAATCCTTGTGGCCTCGTAGCCAAGGCGGAATTCCCACCGTCCCTGGCCAGGAACCGCTCACTGCCTGCAGAACTCGCTGGTGATGTTGGGCAGGGGGTAGGCGAAGAGGGAGAAGTCCAGGATGTATTTGGGGAGCAGCTCCTTGATCAGCCGGCGCTGGGTGTTGCACAGGTAATAGTGCAGCGTCTCGGCCGTGACGGGTTTGTACCAGGCCTGGCGCTCCGGGAAGCGGACGAAGGAAGGCGACTGGATGTGCTCCAGCACATGGTTGGCGTCGGCGTGGAGCCGCTCGTAGGAGCCGATGAAGTCGTACCTGACGGCGCAGGGCTGGCACAGGTTGTAGATGGGCATCCAGTGCTCGTTCATGCGCTCCACGTCCTCGTCCAGCAGGTACTGCAGGAATTCGGAGAAGGACACGTCGTCGCCGGCCGAGTTCCCCCCGCTCTTTCGGTAGCGCCGGACGATCTCCACGCCGTACTTCTGCTGGTACTCCTTGATCTCCCCGAATTTATTCCGGTAGGCCGACAGCAGCCTCTCCATCGGGTTCCGCACGAAGATGAACTTGTAGTAGTGCTTCAGGCGGTAGCTGATCTCCTCCGGCTTCATGTCGCCCAGGAACACCAGGTCGCTCTTGTGGTCCATCTTCCCCTGCACGTCCACGCTCTCCAGAGCCCCGTCCAGCACCTTCAGGATGCGCTTCCAGTTGGAGCAGGCCACCTTGGGCACGTAGCAGTAGAGGAAGCGGTACTTGTCGCTGACCAGGAGGTGCCGGAGCACGGTGCGGCGCTGCCCGGGCGGCAGCTCCCAGACGCTGCGGGGCATGGAGCGCTGCCCGCACAGGGCGCGGATCGTGCGGTTCCGCGTGTCCCGCAGCACCTCCAGCTCCAGCTCCG